GTCGCTGTAATCTTACTCGTTCGTGGTAACAGGGGTCATTATTTTTCCTGAGTAATCAAACGATTATCACGAACGCAAAGGGACTAATTTTTGTCTTTCGTTATAAGCGTTTCAACTAAAGGATGCCGCAAATAGCCGGGACCAAAAACATCAGATCGTTATATCCGTCACTTCGTGATAAGCGTGTTCGTTATAAAAGGAGTTTACAGTACATATAAATGTTGAGTGTTGCCAAATAACGAGTAAATATTGTTCTATTTCTCTTAACAGGGAGATTCATATATGGCTATTATCCTCACTTTCGGTGGTCGTAGTAGACCACCAAATGGATCGTGTGGTCAGGCTCGATAACTTGAATGCTTGTCCATCGCACCATAGCGGCGTGGGACGTTGGTTTTAATGGCCATCACTGTTTTTTTCTTGTCCAGACTCGATTATTAAAAGACCGCTACCGTACAGCTGGAATATTGCTGAGTGCAGTGTAAAACAACAAACAGTAGGCAATAGGTGGCATATGTGAGACACACCTCTTTTATAATGTCAGAGATGAGAATAATTGTCATTTGTATGTTAATATCGGGGATTGGCGACCTGGTTCGAATCCTATCTGAGGTTATATGCTACACAAGGTGTAAATCTTTGTGTCAACCTCCATACTTTTATGACGTGATTAAAAGTCTTCATTGACACTCATTTCTAACATGTAGGTCAATCTAGTTAAAAGGACATCGCCGTCAGACCCAACAAAGATCGCAACGCCGAGGGTGAATGCAACAAACCAACCAACATCACAAGTAGGCACAGTTGTGTTCTTATCACCCTTGATTACACAGTCCATCTTATTGTAATAAATATCCTTGATCTATTCACAACAGTATATTTGTTTCGGGAGTGACGAAAACAGGTCCATCTCTCTTATTCTCTAGCCGCCTGAAGCGATGATAATTTTGGACATTGAGACTTACATGCATTGTCAATTTGTTCAAAGTGAAATTTGTTGAAATGCGACAGTAGCCCCTGGACCCATTCCCGTAGTTCTTAAAATCAGGTATTACCCGCCCTTGATTATCATCAACATTTTACAGACCTTTCAACCGAGATAAGGAGAAAGGAACAGTCTCCTCACAGTGATAGCCCGTTCGCGGAGCTCTCTATACTACCGAGAGTGTAACGAAGGTGTCACGCGCTGGGAAGGAGCTTGGAGAAAGGAATGGGTAAGGGGGGTAACTCTTATTGCCTAGAGTTGCACAAAACCACATGTTTTCCAATAAACTTCTACAGTAACGTTATATATTTTTATTAAATAGCTAGGCACTCCACAGTCATTTCATGTACATGTATGCTCAGTCTGGCCTTAAAGCTGTAATAAATTCTGGTAAGGTAAGGCTCCTTTTTTATTTACTGGATGGATGAACGTTTAAAGACATAAAAATCTAACACAATACCATCTAATCACAGCTGCCAGATATCTGTTGATCTGCACTGAAGGTTGCTCAGGCACAACTGACTCTGATTTAGTATAGTAAAAACTAAAAACCATGAAGTCATCCTTCCCATCAAAGAAATATTTTGAGGGCTTTCTTTTGCATGTAAATCAGTTTTCTATTGTTGAACTATCGTTATTAATGAGACTGGCCATCATGATGTTGATATCGCCAATCCGGCATTGAGGCTAGTTTGTAACTCACATTCTGATTGGTCCGTTAGACTGAGTAGCGTAGCCAATCAAATTGGCAAATGAAAAATCAAGGGCGAGTAACTTGCGATCGCGAGGACCACTTGAATGTATGAAGGGGTTCATGAAGGTTTACGCAAATGCGAGCCGAGGAGATTTAGAGGATTAGAACCAAGGTACATGCTCACGACTAAACCTATCAGAGGGTCAGGCTCTGCGCCTCCGGCTCGTGGTATAAAATCTAACGCGGGACGCATGAAACCCTTTTTACAGAAGAACATCGATCAAGGCATATTGCAGTAGATGAGACATCCAATGCTTGGGAGTATATTCTTACTTGGAGTCCCCACAGATAGAGGTGTGAGAAAACCATGTCTTTATCTCGTCCTGTATTGCATTTTAATCAATATTAAAACGTAAAACACATTTTGATTGGACAATGAGTATTTCCGTAAAATCTATTTTGGGTTTATTTTGTATTGTTTTTCAGTCAAACGCCGGAGATATATAAACTGAGGTATGTAAATAAGCGGGTCCGGACCGGACAAATGATTGAAGTCACTGGGTCCCGTTGGTCGCCTGTAAGGCTGCCGTGGCGGCCATACTGTAAATGGTATTCGAACGTCTTGAACAAATATTGGTGGGTCATCTTTGGTAGGGACAAGAGTGTGAAGTTTCCGCTTCAGTGACCCAGTGGTTTCCGAGAATGTTGTGCAAGGAAAAGCAGTTTGAGGTGCAAAGGTCAAATGAAGAACAAAATATAAAACATCACTCAAAACGCAACGTGTTGAAACCCACTATTAACTGTATATATACCAAATTTATATGTCATAAGAAATTTCAGCTTTCAGTCTGGTCGATGTGTAAATGTCAAATCAAGAGCAAATGAAATATATCGCTAAAAGCAGGCGTTGTTGAACACCACATGCTATTACACATATACCAAATTTTATTACATTTTGTAAAAGAAATTGCTGAGTATAGCTGTTTCGATTCGTCTGCTGCAGCCAAATGAGCTAAAAACAAGGTCATTCTGTGTTCTTTCTATATACATTTACTAAGGGCCAAAAAAGTCATCTTAGTCAAAGGTATGGTCCTTGTCAAATGTTGAAAGTATATACAGATTTTACTAAAGTGAAGAAAAGCTCTCATATGAACTTAAAAAGGTGTGTTACATGCAAAAGGAGCACATCAGAAGTACTTAACATTAACCATTTCGAATTAAATCAGGTGACAGGTGACCTCACATGCCCAATGCAGTACACCTTTGAAACAAATCTGCTTCATCAAAGAGTCGAGCACTTCCAGCTTATTGCTTTGATCTTCAATCTCCACCATGAAATGTCAAGAGGATATGTATTTCAAGTTTTGTCAATTTCCAATTATAAATGATCAGGCTTTAGGTTACGCTAATACTTCACTTAGACACAGCATACGATTCGAGTTGATCAGTCATTGTTTTGGCCCCTTAACGTCGAAATCAGCAGGGCAACAAGTACAATCTTTTTAACGTCCTTCCCGGGATTCAAACCCCTGACGTTCCACTCTCTGGGCGAACACTCTACCACTTTAAAAAAGAAAGAATTCTCGAAGGGCATATAGGAGGTAGGAGGTGTGATGGCTGTTGGAAGTGCATGGTATAAACAAGAGCGCTCTGAGAGCACAACATCCCCCACATGAACTTTTTAAACAAGTCAAATGAAGCTCCGTAATACAGGCGCAGTTACTCTGTCAAAAATAGTCGATAGGAAACAGGACTGCGATATGCGTATCATCAACATGTCGACATCTTGTGTGTAGAGTGTCAGGGATATTCTCTGGAAACTGTAGAAGGACTTGATTTCACAAGGTAAGTAGCCTCTCTCACAATAAGGCAAATGAAGCTCCGTAAAACAGGGGCAGTAACTCTGTCAAAATTAGTCGAAACGTAACGGGGCTGCGATATGCGTATCATCAACACGTCGATATCTTGTGTGTAGAGTTTCAGGGATATTCTCTGGAAACTGTAGGAGTTGATGACTTCACAAGCTTAGTACCCACTGTGGGACGGACAGAAGGACGGACGGACGGACTGTGCCACGACATAATCCCCCTTTGGCCATTCTGGCCCGGCGGGGAATAAAAAGCAGCTGCAGACTTCAAATTGAAGCAAGCTCACTAAGCAGTCCCTACTTGATAACAGGACTGTTGAAGAAAGTAGACAATATTTCCTAGATGCAGTGAAACCCTGTCAATCCAGGTAGGTTTTTCACTGAAATTGTCCGGATGAAGAATTGAATCTTGGGAAGAGGTGAACATAACATGGTTAAGTCACTTTGTATATTCGTAAATATTTCAAACAGCAATCATCCAGTATGTGTGTATTTGATATAAATATCTGGTCCAGAGACACAGGCTTTCAGTCAACAATTTTATCCATGCTACTGTAGGGAGAAAAAAAACATGGTCATATTTCATCATTTTATTTCTTTGATCCACAGCCGAGTCATTAATAAAGTTAAGTGTCCATTACTTACAACATGGTTTCATTGTTGGACCACCATAACTACTTGGTAGTGTATGTAGTCTACCAGACTGGGCTACAACAGGGCAACAAACACAGAGCAGCTTGGCTGTTGTCAGAGATTATCAATACATAAATAGGACTAAGAAAATACCATCAACAAATACTTCACCATTTTACACTTTGTATACAACAGATTTCTAAGTCAACCCTCATATCCTTAAACAGCAGGTAATGTTTATAAATTTTGGATCAACAAAATACAGTTTCACATTAATATATGAATTCACTCATGCTGTATAAAAACCAAGACATTGATGGAGCACTACAGAGTATTTGGACTTCTCTCAAATGAATTGTCGCAAAAGAAAGATTTGGGGATAATGAGCCAGTGAACATAAAATACTTTAAAGATAAGTTCAGGCACGACAGAACAGTATTTTCCTGTTTAGAAAATGAACAAAACAGTCAATGTGATATAGTCAGTCCTTTACTGGAAATGAAGTGATCAGTGAACTTAATTGTGGCACTACTGAAACTCCAAATTCCTTGAAAATACTGATAGTGAAGTAAAATATACTGATGGTGATATTTTCTTGAGACCATAGCACTCATTTCACAGGAGAAATGTTTTATACAGTGTACTTCAAAATCATGCTTAGTTCCTCCGCCGAAGACTTACATTCTTAATTTCTACTGATGCCAATCAAAATAGATAAGCACAGCTATTCTCAAAATATACACAAAAGAAAAATGATTCCTTTGCAAAAGAAAATATCCCAAGAGGGCTTTCGAATGTCAGATCTATTTTTGGAGTCAGGAACACAATTTGCACATGATAAAACACTTTGAAGCCCAGCTTCGAAGCATAAGACCAATCACTACCCTTTTTATGGTAATTGGTGGTACTGGCTGAAGTTCCTTTCAGAAAAGGTGCTATGTCGAACAGAATGCCAAATGCAAGGCAGTCAGCCATTAGTTGTCCATTGAAGGCAATACCCTGCCTTGATGCCATAAGAGTATCACAGTTTAGATAATCCGTCCAAGAAAGATAGCATCGTCGGACAAACAGTCTGGTCCTGTTATTGGTACAAAACCCAGTTTTGCGTAGCAATCCATCATGTATTTATCTCCTACTGTTAGTTCACAGTGTACACCGATGGAACCACTGGTTTTCACAGCACAAAGGGCACAGGCCAGAAGTCTTTTAGGTACTGCAGGGTCCTCAATTCTGTTGGGCAGGACATCAACACGCAGTAATGATGGGTACCGTTTGTATAGAACTTCCGGAATCATCTGCTGCTCATTGTGAAAGCTTAAGATCAGTTCCTGCGAAAACGAAAGGAAACATATATTGGGTGTATAAATCTTTTTATAACCAGTCATAACGATATATTTTTCAGTAATAAAGTATGACACAAAAAGCTTGCCTGCCTCCACCTTTAACAGGCAAACCTGAGCTTGAGGGTAATACTACAAGATCAGGACATGACACTTTGTAATCTGTCATTCTAATAAGCTCTTATGAGAATTATGGGGTACTAGGGTCAAAGAATCTGCAGCATAACCTTTAGAAAAGCATTGATGAGACTAAGGGGGAAGCATAAAGTACTCAATAGGTCTGTTCAGTAGTGCAGTGTATACATACATCTGCTGGTGAAAGTTCATCCTTGTCAGGTTTGGGGTACTTCTGGCACATGGAGGGTATCCAGTCAATCTTGGTCTTCTGGTGGAGCTGCTTGCTGTCTAGGGCACACAGGGCATAGCCACAGATTCCTTCTTCATCCTCCACAACAAAGCAGTATTCAGGGCAATTGGTGACTAGGCCTCCGAGCAACCTGGAATTAATGGGTCATTACCATCACAACTGCTGTTAAATTAATGAAATGCATAGTGAGAGTTAGGATAAGATTAAAAAATAAGTCAGTATCAAAAGTTACATTTCACCATATTTTTGCATACAACCTAATGTTGGGGAGAAACCCATGAGCATTGTTTGGGTACAGAATTATATAGGTGATTATATTTAGAGTCTTCACTGACCATTAATAGGCATGTTATTTAATGACCCAAAGGACTGGAAACCTCTGTGGAGGAAAGCCAAATGGAAAATCCAAAGGCATATGTTCGACATTGAAACATTACAATAGATCAAAGAGATTTCAGACATTAGCTAGACGTTTGCACATTGATTCTCGTACCTGTCTCCCATGAGTTGCGGATTGTCTGGGAAGACATCGGTGCCATCCATGCCGTCGTCACAAGTCTTCAGACACACTTGGTACACTTGATCCTGAAGCATGATCGTTTTTACTGAGATTGGATGTACTCTAAGAAACAATAATTTGACCCTAGAAGCTACCCTTAGTCAGCTTTGACCAAATAACATAGCAGTAAACAACACTCATTTTGGTTCAGAATCCAGGAAAGATAAACGAGAAAGAAAACTTTATGGCAAAGACAGAACTTCCAAGAATCCAACTGCCATCTATCCAATAGGTTTGCTCACAAATTTCTTTTTGATATTCTCAGGGTGTTTAATACCTTTTACCTATTCCGATTAGGGGAGAAAAATTATCTTTGCATATATTGGCTGTTTACCATGAACTCACCTTATCACGAGGATGGTAAGGTCTATAGACATATTGTTTCTTGACAAAACTGTCAGGGGCAGTCATGAAGAATAGATCATGAGCAGTGTCAATCGGCAACATTCGCTGTGAACAGATCAGAAGGGTGTTATGTAAGGATCTAGCCAGGAACAAAGACTGATCCAGATTCAAATAAGGACAAGAATTCGCAAGCGCATGACATTCCTGAAGCCAGATGTTTGACTTGAAAAACAGCATTGACAAGTGGCTGTAGTTTACTACCATTTACTGATTTGAGCCATACCTTATAAAGTTTACAGTGCTGTACATCAAGATTCAACTGGATTCAGGAAACAATTGAAAAATTATATTTACCTTATAATATTACTTCTTATTTAAACACAGGCAAACTACTTATCACTTACTTGTTGGCTGAGAGCCTACAACATTCAAATCATATTAGCATTTCTTCCGTCTTTCAGGCTGATTCACTGTTGCTTTTGCACTTTATCTCAAGTTTTTACAATCTTGCTAAATGTTAACCACAATGAAAGTTAGACAGTTCAATAATTACTGGGACAAAAATCAGGGTTTTTCTTACACATTTTCAACATTTGTTCAATGCATCTTTCATTGCCATAATATTTAGGTGTCAAGATACTGACATTTGTCTTTGGAAGATATTCTAATGATAGGGTTGGGAAAGCTTGAGAGTACATAACAGAACTACAAAAGGTAAAAACTCAAGCTGGATTTTTTTCTTCTTAGCAATTTGTAATATCTGTGATGACAAAGAATGTCCATGTCCATGTAGATTGTCCATAAACGTGACAATCTACTAAAAGTTCAAGAACAAGTGGATTAACTAAATCCAACATTAACAGTTAACATTGAACTTGTAAATGATCTGGGAGAAGTGAAAACCTCATGGCTGGGTCTGACCATGGTAACATTTTTGTATGAAATTGGGAACAAGCTATGTAAAGATAATATCTATGTTGCCTTTACAAAATATTGTCAGGTGCAATTAAATCAAAATATATTCCAAAGACACTAGAAGTGAAATTATTCAGATTGTCCAACTTTCATGGATTATGAAAGAAACCAAGCATTATCGCAGCGCACTTTCTGTAATGAAAGACATCTATTAGCACATGGTAATAACACCACTGGAAACCGTTTACTTGAAGAAATTATGTTCAGAAAATTTTCTGTTTTTCACGTTACTAGAATTATCAACCTCTGTATGGAGATAGAAACATTTGATGGCGTACAACAGTGTTTGAAATGATTTTAATAAAGTAGTTTCTTTGCTGAATCGTGGCATTAGTATATCCAGTTTCAAAAGCAGTCACTGAGCTGACCAGATTATCTTTAGACAGATTCAAACACTGTTAGTAACATTCTGCCATGATCAACAACACTACCATCAAATGACAATATGGTAGTGGAAGGGTCAATAAAAGTTTCAATCACATGATAAAGAGGTTTTCTCAAGTGCTAACAAGTATGTAAATGTAAATTGCTTCTGCCATATATCTAAGTTTACACACCAAATTCCCCAATGTTGCATAGTGGGGGTACAAACTAAGGGGAATTCTTTTGCAAAAACAAATAAAAGTAAGAAAAAATTCTGAACATTTCATGGTGTACACAATGGTACAAAACTTTAGATTACAAATTCAAGTTGACTCTTGATTTGCAGAATATTTCAGACATGTATAAAAGTGATCCAACTGCTATGGATTTAAAACAAGCAATTTCTGAAACAACTGCTCGAATTGAGCATTAGCTGTAAAAAATATTCTGCAATATTGACAAGAAACAAATTGAATTCTAAGAAAAGCTTTAAATTTGGCATGTGATTGTAAGCCATCTGAGCTGTGACGCTTGCTCATAGCGCGAGCAGCAGCGCAACCTGTAAAGGAAGCAAGAATTAAACTTGAGATAAAAGTGCAACAACCGCAGAGATCAGCTGAAATTGGAGAGAAGATATTAGTTGGGACTCGGAATGGGGAAACCACCATGATGATGATTGTTGTGCATCCAGCGCATGTGGCAACAAGCTTCCTGGATATACATACTTGGAACTCTGCCTGCAGACCGCCTCTGAAGACCCAGGGTTCTTGGTCTCCACTAACGAATACCTCCTTATAGCCTTTTGTAAGCCCTATTATTGTTAAAAAAGAAATAGGTAGAACTCATTAGTGTCCTGACAAAACCAATTCAGGTTGGAAGAAGGTGGATATGGTTTACTTTATTTTACATTTACACATCTTACCTTACAAGTTCAATAGTTACCTCGACGATACAATTCATCGATGTTGCTACTTGAACAAGATGTACTTGCATGCTATTTTATGTCCAGGGACATGATAATGTCACGGAACTTTGTACAGCTTTCTTAGCGATATAGGTTTGCAAATACATATTCTAAATGTACTAAACTACATGGAATTGTCGATGAAACATGACATTTCATTTGAAAGGAATGAAACAATTTCCACAAATTCAGACAAAAATAACCCAACCAAACTAAATCTGAAAGCCTTATCAACCTCAATATTTTGTACCATGTTTGCAAACCTCTGACTAGGCAAGATGAGAAGACATGGGAATCCAAATTCAACTACATCTGTATGAGAATATATCAAAAGCTCAAAGACAGTCTTTAATAGTCTCACTAGAATTGAAGTAGTGAGATCTGCAATCATCGAAAAAAGGTCACTCAATTTTCTGATAAAAATCAAGACAATTGAGGGCACTGATACAAACTGAAAATATTCATCACACATATGAAACTGAAGTTGGATTCAAAACTCTCCAATCCGAGAGCAAATATCTGCATCTGAAACCATCTCCATTTCAGCAAGGCCCTAGCTTCAAGGTGTTTCATATACTCTACAAAACAAATGTAATAATATACCAAACTCAAAGATTACCAATATTTGCATTTTACTTTGTTAGAAAGCATTTCCCAAGTGACAAGCAAGTTTTTGACAAGATAACATTATGTAAGATTTCCTCTTGAATAGCCCACACTGAAACACCTGGAAGTTTGTGAACTTATTGGTGAAATGGAGATGCCATGTTCATATATAAAGAAAATCAAACATCATGCAGAACCTGTGTAAATGAACAATGATTAGTGAGCCTTGGAAAGCTGTACAAAGTGCTAACTGCAGTAGAAGAGTGTCGGCCCAAACCCAAACACATAGAATGCGTACATGTTAGAGATCCTTGCAAGTGACACACAGCCATGTATGGAACTCGACCACCTCCTGAAAGAACACAAGCAAACAGAACATTAGTATGTGCCTATCACTGGTCATCCGCACTGAAAGTAAGGACTAAATGCCAGTTTATTTAATTGACTCCCTTACTCACCAATTGAGATTTATTTTATCAATTAGAAGACAATTTAGTCCTCAAAAAGATGGTATTTATTTGTCCTACAAGGCATTATCTTCAAATCCTGTTCACTTTAGCATTCCCTTAGGTTGCATATTTCTTAAACCCTTAAAATATTGGTTGGAAAAAAATAAGGTTGGAAGTATTTCACAAAACATGTCAGAACTAGACACACAAAGCCAGGAAATGAATTCCTAAAATAAATGAACTGCGTTACTAAAATAATCAAACAGGGTAAAAGATAATGCCTGAAAAAGTTGTCACTATGTTGACAACATTGAAGACCTTGTTTATTTGAGGAATTACACATAAAAAATGGCTGTTACTTAGTATCAGCATCCAAGAGCCACAATATTATGATAAAGTATTAACCTTCCCATGTAGGTTATAATTTTTAGCGTAACATGGTCTACTTTTGAACTCAAAACTTCACAAGCACAGGATACCAGTGACTTTTGAATGAGATATTTTCATGATATCAACTATTGATTGGACATTCTCTGGCCATTACCAAATCTGAATAACATCTTATTACATTTTTGAATACAGTCTGTCAATGTCCTAGAAAATGAACCGATCTGAAACATGGATGCCATGTGGTGTACTATCAAGCTTCTTCCATCAGAAAACTAAGATAAACCACAAAATGAACATTCAAAACGACAAGCTGATGTTCATAATGGACATCAAAATAAAACCAGACATTGCTTTTAATAATACTGAGGCTCAAGAACAGGACAAGGTTACAATTTTGTCAGCCAGAGGGACCATGCATATCAATGTCATGTGTACATAAAAATTGACAATTACCCATCCACTTGACGTAAGCACAACAAGTCTGTAGCACTCCCCGTAGATCCCACAGGTACGGGAAGATGTCGGACAAGAGGGACTTGTTGGGGATGGCCATAAGGCGATCATACAACTCTAAAACAGCTCCAACACCATCCTCAAACCTCCTTGCAACTTCAAACCAGCTTGTTACCTGAAACAAAACATTGATAATCAGAAATACAAACTTGTCTGAGGACATCTGTATAGTGTATTGCCATGCCTATATACAAGAAAGTCTAAAATACTTCAAACTCTGAAGAAAACCACAATAATAAATGGTGACAAAAGGGTTGAACAAGTACATGTTGAGGCAAAATAGACAGACCTTCCGTAGGTTAAATGACACTTCCAACTCTTGAAATCGACATGTTCAATTTCAAAATAAGGTTTGTTCAATTGCAAAATATGGCAATGAAAATCACATAATATCATTTGCATAGAAATGTAAGGTAAAAAAAAACACATTTTACCTGATCTCTGATTTTCTTTGCACCATTAGCACTTGAGATAACATGAGCATTTGCCCTAAGCCAGTACAGATCATGCATCATTTCACAACCCCTGGACCCATATTCAAAAGGTGTGTAGAACAAATCCACAAGCAATGAAATGTTGTCAAAGGTTAGATCACCAGGTGATATAAATTCAACACCACTAGATGTTTCCACAACCTCTTCACAATTTGTAATGCCTGTAGCGTTTCTTTCCTCACACTTTTCCAAAGCAGTCACTTCAATCTGCATAAGAGATTCTGACGATTCATTTTTGGGAATACAATGGACATTAGGGGGTATTGCACTGATCCCTGTAGGAACACAATCCATGGGTTCAAGTTCTGAATTGTCAGCCACAAATTCTGAATCCGATATGGGCACATCAACAAGACTGTTCACGGGATTCATTGATGGCTGCATGTATGAGACATTGTCTACTTCAGCCATGTTGGAATCCATGGAATTCAGTGGAGGGATTGGTAAGGAAACAGTTTTGTCTTCAGATTCAAATGTTGTCGTTGTTGGCGTTATCGCTGTACATGTGCTGACCACAACATTGGAAATGGGCATCAAAGGTGGGGATGGGCGCTTAGGAGGGAGGCGTCCTGCTGAGAACTCTATCAACCACTCGTTAAGAGCTATCTTCAGTGCCTGTCTGGGTTGGTACCGAGTATCAAACCTTGTTGGAATGTCCTCATCTGAACTGAAATCACTTTCTGTCTCCAACTTGATGTCAGAAGCCACAGGACTTAATCTGTCACCTGTGATGCAAAAAAAAGACTAAGTTAAATTCACATTATTAATGTAATAGTAGATGATTTTGTTTTCTATCAATTCAGATATTGCCAGTGGGGATTTACAATGAGCCCACCCATTTTTCTCCACTTGAAACTAAGTGGTGAAACTCACATCATTGTTGTCTTAATGGAAGTGTTCAGAGAAAAACACTAAAAATGTTCTTATTAGACCACTGAATATGTACTTGCTTTAAACAACTTCGAAACACAAAGATTGCTTTACCCGATATGATGTCTTTTTTCACTCCGTCCATGTTGGACTTGCACCACTGCGCCAATGTGTGACACGCTATGTAATTAGCTTCAAATTCGGTGTTTGGATTTGTCATCACACCCTTCAGGTATGGAATGATTTCAGGTGACCGACCATCATATGGTCCAAGGAATATCCTTCTTGGATCATAGTCATTTGCATGAATATTGTCCCATATCACAGGTGGACGCTTCAAGACAGAAGCAACTTCTTCAAGTGACTGAATACTGAGTTTCTTGCTGATCACCTTAGGTCCTGAAAATGAAATAAATATTTGAGTTCATACAATTTGGTTCTAACAGATCAGGTTCTTGAATTCCCAAAGGAAGAAAAGAATATTTGTCTGTTAAAGTCTTTGTCTTTAACATCGAAGGCACCACAGGTGCATATCCAGTGTCCCGAACGGACTACCTTGGGGATGGTTTCCATAGCTATGGCTGGGATGGTACGGTCAGTTTTTAGAAGGGGGAACTTGTTTAGGATTGTTTGCACACCAGGATATGGAGGAGGATAAAAACATGTATGTGTGAGATTGGACCTTTAAAAAATGTTATATTTTTAAACCTTACCCTTGGGGCTATTATGATTTACCACCAAATGTCTGATAACTACTCGGGAATATTATCCTTCATATAATACTGGGGACGCAAGATGCCCAGTTAGGGTCAGACAAACCACTGACAAGATGACACCATCCTCTAGGTCACACACCGTAACCAAGATTATCAACTTCTATGACAAGCAGAGACTGAAATAAACATTACACTGAGCCAGTTTCAAAAAAGGTACCCAAGGGCTGGTAGAATTTTTAACACCTTGTTTGTGTTCCTCAATGTTATCACTATTGCGGCAAGTAGACTTACATGGTTAATTACTATCCCTGACAGAGCATAGCATACTGTGATCTATTCTAACAGGTCAGACAAGGTAATCAACACAATAACATACCTGTCCACATGACATTGATCCCTGGGAGCAGCTTGCTACCAATAGTTGTTAGGTAGTCTGAACTTAACACATTTGGTATTGCTCTGGAAGCACAGTACTCTGAAACACACATTCAGTTCAGATTAACTCACACATTCATGAAATGTGTAAGAAACATTTATCAAGAGTTTGGGATTCAAATTAGCATACAGCAATAATCATGCTTATCTTAAAGTTGTATCCGAAGTGGAGCCTAATGAATGTTCAGTCTTTGCTACTCACCTGTAGGGCAGAATAAAAACTTTGGTTGGCCCAAATGCTCATATACTTCATTTGTAACAGAGGCTTGAGCAAATGCTGAGGATGGAAACACACTCCGGTCTGCTTCGCTTATTTCAGGGTCAATGTCATCAAATAAGATCGCAAATGCTTTACAACCAAATGTTGAAACCTGAAACATAATGAACCAAATAATGAAGTCTCACAATTGTTAATAAACTTCATCTGTGATAAATGTTTCTCAAACGTATTGATTGTAATCAAACATTCACCAAAGGTCCTACAAGTCCTTGCTTTTATTTGTATCAAGCAAGTTGGTCCAATGAGACTTTCTAACCATACTTCTGGTTGTCAGATCATACAGTATGAAATCAGTCAAATATTGATTACAGAAAATCATTTCACTACTTAAAGTATGATTTAAGGGATTAAACTCACTAACAGGACTCGTGACATTTGACATTTATGAACATTTCATACTATTACCTGTTCCAGTTTCCTTTTCAGGCATGTAATATCTTTTGTGCTGGAGAATGTGATGTCTAGGCCAGGTGAGATGGCATACACAAAATTCACATTGTTCTGATGAGCAGCTTCAGTCAGATTTGTAAGATGGTCTGCAAACAAATTTGCAATGTTTATGCATCATCATATTGCAAATAGAGACACAAAACTACAATGGCTTTCAAGTTTCTTATATATATATATATATATATATGACACAGAATTAAATGCCCAATTCTGAACGTATAGTGTTTATGCAATAGCTACTGATACGAAGTGTTGTGTATCAACACTCATTGCGTATGTCAGTTTTAAGATGCTCTCCATGCTGTAAAGTCTCTTGAGATCATTGTACATGTGACATTTACACCTTTAGTTAATCAGCTGTGAAGTGACCCTTTTGCCGTCAACTCAGGGATGCTTGGGATGTTGAGTAATATTTAGTTAGCAGCAAACATGAAACAAAGCACCCCGTCATATTCTTTCATTACCCAATTTTGAGTACATTGTTACTTACCAGCTTCTTCAACAGAATATAGTTCTCTCCAGAAAGCCCTATGTTTACAGTCATCTTTTGGGGCATACATGTATGTGTTCAAGCCCATCTTGTTCATCCTGAAAGACAAAAACATTACAAAAGTTCAACCATTGTCTGGTTCCATGCTGCCAAATACATAACATCAATGGTTTCCCAAAAACATAATCTAAATTAACAATAAAGTACAAATAAATATTGACTTCAGTTTCTTTCCCATGCTCACTGAAATAATATCAATTGTTTTGCATCTGTACAAAATCATTAATTTTGAATATCATTAGACATTAACATGATTAACCTGTTGTCATTAATTGATCTGCTATAAACCTATTTCAACATTGATTGACGATATGCTAACTTCATCACACTCATGACTACTTGGTATTAAACCTGTTTATGCTTTGTTCACAATTCAACTATTAAATATTAATTTTCCAAAGCTACTTTGAAGTTCTTACCATGCAAAAAGCAGCTTCCTTTGATCTGTGCTCCATGGTTTGCCATAGAAACCTGTTAACGAAAATAGCTCATACAAGTAAGTTTTTCAAAATTAAAAATGGACCTGGAACATGACTAGACTTTATCAGTTCAGGACAACTTAAGAAACAAAGCATAAAACCTGGAAGCCTTTCCCAATTTTCTACTAGGTGTCGTGATACCTGACCATTGGGCAGTTGGCAAGGACTAGTGCCAATTTCTAACACTGAATCCTTCAATTACTTTTAGTTTTGATGCTGAGAACTTCCATGTAACTCCACTACTAAAGTATCAATCGCTGTTCAAAACAGGCGATGTCACTCAATTGCCACAGAAGTTTACAGACAAGACAATGGAGGTCACAATTTTTTTCTGCTGGAAAAGAGCTGATTTCTATTGTTGAAAACATCAGCTTCCAGTATTAGCATACAAATTTGTTTTCATTCACCCTTCCCCAAACATATCAGCAATACCGCCTTAACCGTTTGGAAAGAGGGAAAGAGATATGCTAGGATATTCCAACTTGTGAATAAGAACCAAAAGCACTCATTTTCGAGCTACAGAAATAAATATTTGTAGGCTTATTCATCATGACACACAATCATTTGTAGGATATTTTTTCTGTTCGAGGTAAACGTTTTCCTTGTAATTGTTTAATGAAACAAAGCCAATAACGGTCTCAAAAGGCTATAGGCCTAGGCTAAAAATAAAGGTAGTTCCTAGAATCATGGATTCATTGAAAGGGGCTTCCAGTGTTTAAACTTCTACACAGTAGTATAGCGGTTGATTTAGTAAAATTTCCCATATTTCAGTGAAAGCAAGATAGTGGTGAAATTTTACAAAATATTCGTTGATAAAAATCAGTCCCGTATTTCATTTCAGCAGGAGCAAGACGCCATTTTGTTTTCACCGTCGGAATGTGACAAGTGCCCCGGATGAAAAGAGAATTAGATTTTCTGATCACAGAATGACCACATCTTCCAATGTAATGCTTCGTATGTGTGTCCTAATCGCAATCCTTCATATTTAAGACACAGTTTCACGAAATGTAAGGATTTACTGAGAAGAAACAATATGTTTCTGGCAGTCCAAGGTCGAATATTGCCTCACCTTCCACAACACCGGACACGAATGTACCATCGTCCGTGCTGTTATCGTCAACTTCTTTCCCCGTCATTCTGGATCGTAGTTGGCGCTGATATCCACCCTTTTGACATCTGCTCGCTATGGAACCAATTTTTGAGCTCCCTTTAACCATCAGCAACCACACTTTCTTTCGCTTCTACTCGTGAAATAATTATTACTCCGCTGAATTGTGGGTAATACGGACTATCCGGATGACACAAAGACGTTTATTGGCTACACGGATTCTTCTCAACCAATGAAAACCCGTTTGGCATAGTGTTGGTGCATGCTAATGTACTGTGGGTAAAAAAAAGTGGATAAAACCGGTTTGCACTGCCATTGGCGTGTTTCGTGACAGAACTGGCTGTCACAATGTACTGTAAATGGAACACATATATAGCATGGGCGGACACAGAGGGGGGTGCGGGGGTTCGCACCCCCCCCCTTTTTATTTCGAAAAATATATATATTCTGTATAAATTACCACCAAAGACAATAAATAGATCTTAATTGTGCACCCCCCTTTTCAAAAAAGCTGTATCCGCCCATGTGTAGGCCTATATATACATGGCCTAACAAGACAGCATTAGCTCTACACCAAATTCAAGCAACGATACACGACAGTTGTTGTAAAATAAGAACTATTATTACATTTACATTGAACAAAAAGCGTTTCTTATGCATAGCCGATAAATAAAAGAGGGAGAATATAATTGTAAAAATAACTCTCAAATCAGACTGACTCGTGATATATTATTATCCTATAACGTCTGAGAGTTAAATAATACAGTGAAATCAACATGTCTTTCTCAGTTGGGTTCGATCGTGTGAATATCCACTGTTAATGGCGTGAGATATTTGTGTCATGCTGACTTTACGAAATGAGTGTCCGAATTCTTGTATTTCCCGAGCGTTAACCCTCTTCATATCGATCGTCATCAACTACTAAAGTCCTCCAGAGACCATAAAATACATATATTTTATGGTCTCGCATGAGTGCACATGCACTACAGCCACAACACATTACTGTTTTTAATATGTGGAATGGCCTCAATAAATCACAGAATTTAAGACATCAGATCATTTTTAATTACTTCCGGGGCCCAACACAAACCTATATGTTGTAATAATATCAACAAAATACCACAATTCCTACAAAGCAAAGCCACGCTTAAAAGGTTTTATATCAAAGACCAACAAAGCCCCATATCTAAAAACTTATTTTTTAAAACTTTCCAACTTTTGGCCGTATCTGCTGTACTCCATCAATCTAAACCAATAACTGCACATTAATCGCACCTTATTAATATTATATATCACAATTATATAGATCTATATAGCTTTACTATTCAGTATCCCTCTCCCGAAAGCTCCCCGACGTTGCCCGGACGCTCCCTGACGTTGTACACTGCCCGGACGCTCCCTGACGTTGTACGTTGACCGGACGTTCCCTGACGTTGTACATTGCCCGGACGCTCCCTGACGTTGTACGTTGCCCAGACGCTCCCTGACGTTGTACGTTGCCTGGACGCTCCCTGACGTTGTACGTTGCCCGGACGCTCCCTGACGTTGTACGTTGCCTGGACGCTCCCTGACGTTGTACGTTGTACGTTGCCCGGACGCTCCTGGGCGTTATTTAGTCGGACCGACTTAAAACATGAGAGTGGGAATCTACACATAATTATTTAAAATTTATCCGATATTTTCTCAATTAAATTTAAGAAAGAGAATTTATAGATGTCAATTTCTTTATTATGAGGAACACCCAGTTGTTTGTTGTTATGTTCCTCATATAATAAAGTTTACCAGCAGTGCAGAGTTACCTACCCTGCTTATAAATTAACATCATATACTGTTTAAGGGGTTTTTTTTAGTACATACCGCCAACAGCATTCCAAGATCCTTCAGTGTATCACTTCTATATGCAACTCAAATACTTAACTAATTTTAAGTTACGTAGCTCTGTTACGATAGGTGGACAACTTGGAAATTATTATCAATGAAAACTAAGTTATTTGTTTCGTTGTGACCATTGGTGAGCGCTTGTCAACATAAGTAACATCGTGTAAATATAGATGTAACCAGATCTATATCTATAGTTGTTGATGTAGACTTGTGTCTCCAAAGACATTGTCTCTGTTCAGTACATTAAACTAGTTGTTTGATCAGGGCTACAATATTCAAGGCCTCAGTAAATCTTCCCCACAGTATTTATGGTGACATATGTGACGACATTTCTAAATTTTACTCATCAGCTCAATGACCAAATTATATCCGATGCCAATCTCTATTAGACTTGTACCATATGTTCCTAGGTGTATTCAGGTGAACAATTAACTTGTTTTTGCGTGTGCGTGTGGCGGGTTCCACCGGTCGGGCAGGATAAGGTGAAGGTGATATTGGGTTTAACGTCGCGTCCAAGATTATTGCACTTATATAGCGATGTGCATGCACGTGTGTGTGTGGCTGCTTGTACTAGTCCGGACTGATGCCGATTTATAGTGCTAGCCCACTGAGATACCATGTGCCGCAGTTTAACATGAATACCCTACTCAGACACAGTATACTGACTCCGAGCCGACCAGTACTTGTTTTAGCCACTTAATGCCGAGCGCCAGACAGGGTAACAACAAGTACCATCTTTTGGTATGACGCGGCCGGGGATCGAACCCCGAACTTTCCGCTCTCCGGGCGGACGCTCTACCACTAGACCACGGAGACGGTCGTCGGGCGGGATAAGCTGACCTGGTGTCATCATAAACACATGCTTATTATAAAGTCGGAATCGTACAAAGGATTATTCTTTCTTATGATTATGGAGAGGGGTGTTGTCGCTTCTATTTAATAGTGGGTACGGGTGGCCCGGTCGTCTAAGGCGCCGCGATTCGCTGTGCAGAGTTGCGTCCCTTTGGGCACATCAGAAACCTATGATTGTGGGTTCGAATCCCGGTTCGCCCCGGTTTATGTTTCTAGGTTTGTCAGCACCATACCCGTGCTCGTGGGTTTCACCGGAGTGGTAAATGTCTGCGATTTGCATCACTTCGGGCTTCCTCCCACATTAAGCTGACACGCCGTGATATAACTGGAATAATGTTAAAAGCGGCGTTAAACCCAGCTCTATTTAATAGAACTTTATTTTATATTGTTTACACACTTGGAACCCAAAACGTAAGTTTACTGTGACAATGATTTCATTGGATTTCACATGGATTTACTATCTTCGTATATGAATACCCCACAGTATAATGCATAAAAATATCTCCTGTGTGCACACACAGTAATTGACCAGTTGTGAATAAAAGGTAATATATAAAATCTATACTTCTTTTATCTTTAGTCCGTATGATACTGCATCCTCGATTGTCCTGTTTATCCTATATATCTCTAGCTATATCATATATTTACAAATATTTACCATTATAGAATGGAGATATAACACGCTGTGTTAGATACCCAAGATGATAAATACATGAGGATGTCTTTTTGTAATGCGTTACCGGGCCGCCCTTGATAAAAGGCGATTTGACGAACGTCTGAAAAAGTTACGGGGGTTGACAAAGGCGGGAATGTTAACTACAGTTTTTGTGTTAAAAACCCCCAACAATATCAAAGTAATTTGTCATTCAATTGATCTGTCATTTCTTATTTGAAAGACGCGCTTGTCAACGTCAGCCTTAATTTACGATTTATTGCCAGTGTTAGTTTTACAAATTGTAAGCCTTAGCTCATAATTGCGCGTAAAGACAACACAAGAAAATTCCCACTAACACAGAATGTACAAATGCTTCCGGGATTGGATTATTGTAGTGTTTTGTAATGAGGTGAATGTTACGCAACTAACAACTGTGTCTGTGCAAGCGGTTACCTCCCATTGGTTATACGCCCCATTTGTCATATACCTTAAAACAACATATAGGTCATGGCTGAATGCACTGATTGGTCTACCCTATTTTACCTAAGTATTAGAATAGAGTGATCCATTAGAAAGTGAGCTATATATGAGCGAACTTATATACAAGGAATATAAGATTATGTAGAAAAATAAACATATAAATATATAAAGAAATCTTTATTAGTAACAATGTATATCAGTTTTTGTTTAGGACAATATCACTAGCACTGTATGTCTAAATTGTCTTTGCTTAGCACAGTATAAAATAGCATTGTATGTTTGAATTGTCTCTGTCTTACTCAAACCCTGTATAGAAACCTGAAGGTTGGGTGGGGCTGCTCCGAAATCCATCTGGGCCATCGCATCGTGAATTGCTTCATAAGCAACGTTATCAGCGAGGCAAAAGGCGCCTCACACGATGATTGCCCGCGAGGGTAGTTAGACGGAAGCGGATTATAAACGAGACTATGCGCTTGAAAATACTTGCTTCACTCTACTCATTACTGTGTCCTGTGAAATTGCGACCCCCATCCAGCGTTAGAAATTGGCACTAGTCCTGTATAGCCCTTGCCAAACTGCCCAATAGTTAAGGTATCACAAGGACCAGCATAAATTTCCCATTTTTAAGGGTTTTGCTATATGTTATCATTATAAGGACAAGTGGAGTAGAACTGTTAGTTTCTACCACTGCCATCTATCCTTGTGACGTCATGTGCACGTACGTCACCTGTTGTAAGATACGCATTGGTACGATGCATGCAATATGAAGTAAGGATAATATACATGGATGAACTACTTCTTTATAACAATTTCGGCGTTTCGATGTAGGTGTAGGTTCTAACCTAGCACTCGCATGATAACGGTGTTAGAACATACACCGAAACGTCGCTCCTAATTGTAATAAAGAAGTTGTTCATCCATATATTATGTTATCCTTACTAAGCACTCCAACTTCTAAATGCCTCTCAAAGAAGCATGTAATATTGCCTATGCTACCCGTGTCAAATATATAATATTATTACATGAAAGTGTAATTTATTGTTAACCAATGTTGCAATTGTAGTACATTGTTTCCATTGATATTCATAAGACAGACAGACAGACAGACAGACAGTTTATTCAGTATTTTAGGCATCAAGGCCCATAGTACAACGCAGGTTGGATATTAACATTGTCACGTGATGTACATGATCAGATTTTAAATGATGTCATTCCTCATTTTAAAGATATGTTTTAAGAATACAGAAACAACATGGATCATATCAGGATTTTCAGAGTTTAGCAGATTAACTGACGGTCTTTAAAAGTACCT